GGAAAATATGCAATGCTAATACTCCCAACCGTTTCTCCTGCGTCCAGGAGAGAGCAGGAGTAATTGGATAAGTCGTAGTACTAGTCCTACAAGTGATTTACAAGACACACATATGAATTTCATCATATGGAACTGTAGAGGGGCAACCTCCATGGAGTTCAGGCGCAACTTTAGGTCACTACTGGACTATAATAGGCCAGCCTTAGTGGTTCTCTTGGAAAGACACTGTCAATCACACCAGGCAGTGAAGGATGATTTTAACTTCGATGGGATGATTGAGGTGGCTGGCACAGGCCATTCTGGTGGAATTGTTATTTTGTGGATGACCAGTGCTTTGGATGTGCATGCAGTTGCAAACACCACGCAGGAAATCCATTGTCAGATCCAGGTTAGGCCACTACCCTTCACCTTTTTATTTACGGCTATCTATGCAAGTAATGAACTAGCTAATCGCCAATTATTATGGAATAATCTTAGGTCAGTGAGGAATAGTTATCATGGTCCTTGGTTAATTGGGGGGGACTTCAATGAAATCACTCATGCATCTGATAAATATGGTGGTCTTCCTATTAATAATTCACGATCAAATAATTTTTTAGACTGCCTTAATTATTGCAACATGACTGACTTAGGTTTTAAGGGCAGTCGTTATACTTGGACTAATGGCAGAGATAAAAGGTATAACATTCTTGAGCGTATTGATCGCATTGTTGCCAACTATGCTTGGATAAATCAATATCCAGATGTTCTAGTTACACACCTTCCACGCACACACTCGGACCATTGTCCTATTAAATTAGAGCTTCAGCACTGTACACTTCCTAGATCTAAGATTTTTAGGTTTGAAATAATTTGGACTAGTCATCCTGCATTTCGGGATGTTATTAAACAAGCTTGGTTGCCCAATTCCACTTTACTGCCTGCTATCGAAAATTTTACAACAATAGTACAAAAATGGAATACCTCTACGTTTGGAAATATTTTTAAACAAAAACAAAAATTGCTTGCACGACTAAATGGGATACAGGCCTCTATCCACTATCCAACTAGCATTTTCTTACAAAATTTAGAAAAAGAGCTAAAGTTAGATTTCAATCACATACTAAGGTTAGAGGAGGACTTTTGGAAGCTGAAATCACGTATTGACTGGCTTAATAACGGAGATGCTAACACTAAATTTTTTCATCTTAGTACTATTAATCGTAGAAGGCACAATAGGATTACGGCACTCCAGGACCAGGGAGGAAATTGGATAACTCAGCCAAAGCTTCTACTGGATCATATTTCCAGTTATTACCAAACTTTGTTTACCACGCAAAAACAATATTCCATTTCAAAGAAAAATCTTCTTCCTTCAAAAATATTAAGCCAAGCTGACTGTGATTCCCTCATCCAACCTCTTAAAAATTCAGAGATTATTAATGCTATACGATTGTTTAAGCCTTTAAAGGCCCCTGGTCCAGATGGACTGCACCCCTTATTTTATCAAAACTATTGGGAGACCATAGGCAATTCAGTGCTCAGTTTTTGTCATAAGGCGTTTGCTGATTCTGAAATCGATCCTTCAATAAACAGTACTTATATCTGTCTTATACCCAAAAATGAGAATGTTGCTACCATTGCTCAGTACAGACCTATTAGTCTTTGCAACACTATTTACAAGATAATAATAAAAATTATAGTTAATAGATTAAAACCAATTTTGAAAAGCATTGTTGACCCTACACAGGCTAGTTTTCAGCAAAATAAAAGAGCTGTGGACAATGCTATCATCGTACAGGAGATTATTACTAATTTTCAAAAAAGGAAAGGTAATAATCTTGGTATGCTTCTTAAGCTTGACCTTGAAAAAGCTTTTGATAAGTTAGAATGGTCATTTATTCGCAATACTTTAACGAGTTTGCATTTTCCAGCTCAATTTGTTAAGCTAGTTATGTCTTGTGTAACTACCACCACTACTTCCATATTAATAAATGGTAGTCCCACAGTTGCTTTCCAACCCACACGGGGTATCAGACAGGGTGATCCGTTGTCGCCCTATTTGTTTATCATTTGCCTTGAAATGTTATCTAGAAAAATCAATCATGTTGTCGACTACAAGGCTTGGGAACCAATTTCAATAGCAAAAAATGGCCCCTCTTTATCTCATTTATTCTTTGCAGATGATATTATTCTAACTTCTCAAATTACTAGCAATACTTGCCAAACAATGATCAATACTATTAATCGTTTCACACATCAATCAGGCCAGACTATTAACTTTGACAAATCAAATAGAAAAAAGGTGGAGTTAATTGCCAAACCAATACTAGGAATCTAATTTTGCAACTTTTCCATATGAAAGAAGGTCGTAGTTTTGGAAAGTATTTGGGTTTCCCAATTTTTACTTCTAGACCTACTAAATCAGACTATCAATCCTTGGTTGATAATTTTAAAACGAAATTGGCAGGTTGGAAAACAAATTTTCTGTCAAGAGCGGGTAGACTTACTTTAATAAAGTCAACTCTTAATCAACTTCCAAACCATTTGATGCAATTCATAAAAATACCTGCTTATATCTTAATTCTGCTTAATAGATACCAAAGGAATTTCTTGTGGGGCACAACTGACCATAAGAAAAAATTACATCTGTTAAAGTGGTCAACAGTCACACAACCTTTGAAACTTGGGGGCCTAGGTATACAAAGTCTGGCTTTAAAAAATAAGTCACTGCATGCCTGTCTGGCATGGCGAATGTTTCATCATCCCCATGAGTTATGGGCACAAGTCTTAATGACCAAATATGCTAGGTATAAATCTATTAATGCATACCAAAGTTCCCCCATTTGGCGCAATATTATTAATGGCTGGAAATTGTGTCGTCTTGGCTATAAATGGAATATTGTAACGGGAAATAATATCAAATTTTGGACGGACCCTTGGATCCGTCATAACTTTACACTTAGAGAACATATTCATGGTCCAATGCCTCAATTTGAGATTACCAAATCAATTTCCAACTATTACTTTGATAATAGATGGCACATGGACATTATCCCTTTTAAGTTGCCTTCACAAATACTTAATCTTATTAAGAATATTTACCTGCCTACCAAACCTAACACTTATGATAAATTATACTGGAATTTAACTGAGAATGGGATGTTCTCAGTTAAATCGATGTACAACTGCTTGACAATTACGAATCCGTCTGGTACTATAAGCCAATCTCCCTCCTTTAACTGGATTTGGCGGCTCCCCATTCCACACAAAATTGCTTTTTTCATTTGGGTAGTTTGCCATAATAGACTACCAACAAATGAGTATCTCACACGAATTGGGATTACCACCTCAGCAATTTGCCAACAATGTCACAAGGAGAGTGAAACAATCCTCATTTATTCCAACGTTGTGCTAATACAATAAATTTCTGGGAACATCTTAAAATAGCACCCCCATCCTTCATAGCTTCTCCTGCGCTGACTGACATTATTACTTGGATATACACTTTTCTCCACACACCTCTATTTTCTATTCCTTACAATATTCCTCCAACCATCATACTTCTTTTTGCTCTATGGGAAATCTGGACAAAAAGAAATAAGTTTGTCTTTGAAAATAAGTTTAATGACTTACATGGGGCTGCTCTAATAGCAAAAGCAGCCGAATACTACTTCCTAACTAACCACTCTAATAAAAAGTTATTAAAGACTCCTATATATATCAAGTGGTATCCACCTGACCCTATGTATTATAAATTAAATGTTGATGGATCTTGCTGTCACACTCAATGTAATTATGGGATTGGAGGAGTCATACGCGACCATCAAAGAAATTGGATCATAGGATTTGCAGGAGGTGTCCAACAAGGGAGCCCTACCCAAATAGAATTGCTAGCCCTCCTCAAAGGCTTACAGATTGCTGCCAAACAAAATCAACTGCCACTCATTATTGAGACAGATGCACAAAATGTGCTTGGTATGTTAAACTCACCTGCCTTGAACTGTATTAACATTGTTACTGATTGCAGGTCATTACTCCAACAGCTGGATAGAGCATCTGTTCAAGTTATCTATAGAGAGCAGAACGGTGTAGCAGACACACTCGCTAAATATGGTGCAATGCATGTCCAGGAGCAATGCCTACTTTTTGAATCACCACCACTTTTTGCACAGTCTTATTACCATCAAGATCATCAGGGCATACTCCATCTCCGGAAAACTCGGCAGTCTAGTAGTTCTAGTTATGTAAATTCTACTGTATGTACTAAACAACCTACTTTAGTAGCTTCTGCTCTCATATCTAGTTTTGCTACCCCAGTAGGGGGAAATCTATCATCTAAGGATCCTTTTGTACGAATGATGCCTTGTAGGCATCCACCACTCTAACCTTATGTAAGTTTGTTATGTTATAATATTGCATATCTTTCTTACCAAAAAAAAAACTCTAAGAAATAGGTTGACTTTTTTGTATTCTTGCAACAAAAAAGTTACATAACAATATTAAATAACAATGCTTGCCTATTCTGTCATTTGTAGTACTTTAATTTAGAGTCGTATTCAACCCATGCATTCAGTTCTAAAAAAATTAAACTTCAACAACATGTTGTAACTTAACTCAAGGCATCATTAGTTAAACCCAAGGTAACAATATAAAATAATTTTGAGTAACATACATAACAAGATAAATAAGCGAAATACACAAATACACTACCAGCAAATCCAATTACCAAAAATTTAAATTAAGATAACTTACCAGCAACGAGTGTTCCCTAAATTACCAGCAATGATTTCTCCTCGGCTACCAGAAATAAATTTTCTCTCAGCTAATAATATCTATACCACCAAAGATGGTTCTATAGTTCAACAAGGAGTAGCATGCAAAAAAAAAAAATTGACATCAGAAAGGAATTACTTGGAGAGCATTCGAGCAAAGAAAATAAGAAATAATCTTGCCTTAGATATAATAACATAATATAAAAAATTGGTTCCGAAAATACTTGGTTTTATAGTGAATGGTTGTTATAGAGAGGTCTGACTATATAGAAGAACTCTAAAGTTCTAACAAATTTCAGAATTTCCAAATTAATAAGGCACTTCCCTGGAATACTAAAGAAAAAGAACACTCCAAAGTGCAAAAATAAAAGAAACACCAAGCACAGGTCTTTTTTAAAAAAAAATCAAAAGCCGCATTGAAGTGGTTGGGGTTTGACTTAGACCCCTACCTCGTAAATTAAGATCCAAAAGGTAAATACATGAATGAAGGGGACATAAAACCTAACCTCCACACAAGTGCTCCAGTCTATATTGTGAGCTAGACATGGGTAGTCACTATGTAAAATAACTTCTATTATTATTTTGTCCCTCATGGGTAGTCACAATACCTAAAGAAATTACAAAGATATATATTTCAGTGGTCCTTACAAAAGATAGATTCATGAAATAACTTTAAATGGCTATAAAACTTAATTATTTGTCTCCACAACTCTTCAGTTGTCCCACAGCTACCAAGACAACTTTAGTAGTTTTCAGGATACCTTCTATAATTATTCAACTATTTTTTCTAACAACTATCGAAGTTCTTTACAATGCATTGGTTGTCCCAGTAACTATTCAGTTGTTCAGCAACTACATATAGTTGTTGGACAACTACAGTAATTGTTGAGATAGTTGTTCTATTTGCCAATAAAAGTCCAATTATTTCTTCCAACAACTTCAAAACTTATTCCAATAACACTGAAAGTTGTTGACTAAAACAACCAAGTTAGGTTCACTAAATGAAGCTGAAGAAAGATACAAATTCATCTTGAGAAACTACCAGTTATATTCATTTATAAGTAATTTACTATAAAAATTGGTCAATTCATAAAATATTACTAACTCAAATAGCATATATTCTGACCCAAAACTTAACTCAAAACTGCAAATTTTTTGCAGATAACAGAGGAGCAAATAGACAGAATTCTGGTGCGAATAACCAGCAATTTCAAACTTGCATTTTTCATCACACTGTCCTCCCAATACAAAAAATATTGAATCAAGAATCAGTCGAACAATTGAATAGAGAATCCAAAATTCTAAATTTTTCTTTGTGCTCATAAATTGCAGGATATAAAGTAGAACTCACTGTCATATTGCTAAATCATTAGGCTTTGCCTCCTAATTCACATAAAATTTTGGCAATATTCTAAAAGACTTTATCAATTATCAGTCTAAAACATAGAGGCGGGGAGTAACTTCCATTTATATGTAAATAATCATTTAATAAACCATTAAGCTGGGACATCAATTCTAGGGAGAAAAAAAAGGAAAATTGCCAGGAGATTAGTTAATACGAATGACAAGGCTGTAAGTAATCACATCTACTCACCAAATTGTTACTCATCATGAAAATTCTGCTTTGGTGTGCGGTAAATTAGAAAGGTTGTGGCATTTCATACCTGGTTTATCCCCTTCAAAATTGCTTGAACTGTTGAAGTTTAGAAGTTGCTTTCTCAGCTTCTTTCTTTCCAGTATTTGATGTTAGAAGCGGTGTCAATGGGGAAGAAATTGGTGTAGCATCAAATGCGTCTGCAAGTAAGGTCCTTGTACTAGAGAGCCCCTGTCAAAAAAGTTAAAAAGGAAAGAAAAATAAAAGCAAAAATTTAAACTATGAAACTGTTTAAACTAATTTGAATTTTCTTTCATAGGATAAATGTTCTAAAATAAAGCATACAAAGAAGCATGCCTATATTGTTATTCAAGATAACAAAGAGTCAAAAACTTTAGCCATCGACACTAGTATATCTGAAGTGTAATGACAGATGTCAAACTGACTAACCCACTTTTGGTGATGGCTTTTGTAAAAATGACAAAATGGTGATTATAATTTCTAGTAGAGTTATAAAACTATTGTTGTGTATATTACAGGAAATTTATGTACAGATGGTTTTATCAATATTTTGATTGGGAAATAAGTTGATTGCACGACCATAAAGGATTATAGAACGAGTATATATAGATCTAAAACATGATATATAATACCAAATTTATTTTACTTGAACTAAAGAATAAGGCCAGATTTCTCGATTAAGAGTCAGAAAGTGAAAAGAGAGCAAACAAATCTTATTACCTTCGTATTTTTAGGTCTCCGAATTGTTTCTCCTTAGTTTGTAAATGATTATGGAGAGGATTAAGGGGTTTTCAAGGCATCGGAGAGAGAGAGATATGGGGGTATCGGAATTTTTAGTAGTGTATCAGTGAAGAAGAAGAATATTTTTGGAGAGAGAGAGAGAGAGATGGGGGCGGGTATCAGTGAAGAAGAAGAAGATGACTGAGTGTTTTTACTTTGGGGGTATCGGCTAACATTGGGTGTATCGCAGTTAATGGAAAAAGTGCCAAAAAGGTTTTTTATTTAATATTTAGATTATTAAAATTATTAAAAAATAAAATGAATAGGGGTTGTTTTGGCGGGTGTAATAAAATTCAGGAGGAAAAATTAAGAAGGGAAAAAGTAACTGTTCCAGTAGAAATTTTTACAATGAAAGCGTTCTCGTAGATTGTTTTATCGGGACGGTTCATATAATTGTTGCGCCAGATGCATCTATGGCAACGGATGTTTTACAATTGCAACGGTTCTATAGTTAAAGTGTGCCGATATCACCTAAATGCTACTGTAACGGTTATAACCGTTACCATATAGGTTCTATGGCAACGAATGTTAAACCGTTGCTAAAATAACTGTTGCCATAGACCCATTTTCTGGTAGTGAGAGAAGACACCTACCTATAAAGTTGTGTAGTTAAGTAACGAGAAAAATAACGAGAGATATAGCAACATGACAACAAGTAAAATAGCAAGTAAGATGACAAGATAAATAACATGGGAGAAAGATGACAAGTATAAAAGAAAGAAGATATAGAACGGGAAGATAAAAGAAAGAAACGACTAAAATAAACTACAGTTCATGCTTCCCCAAATAACAAAAGACAAGCCTTGCGGAAATAATCATGAAACAACATAGCCAATTCCTCAATTTATATAGTAAAATATGGAGCAAGAAATATTAAACAAATGGCACGACATCACCATTCGTGTCTTTACTCTCGTCCTCACAAGTAAAACATAATATGAAGCACGAAAACACCTTTCGTGCATATTCTCTCTCCCTCACAAGCACGGTAGCACCCTTCGTGCAATGATATAAATATATAAAGAAAGCACGAAAATACCCTTCGTTCACAATCACTCTTCCTCACAAGCACGGAAACACTATTCACCCTTCCTCATTAAGCATTAACACGTAAAGAAGATGTCAAGAAGAGCGATTGAACATAGCTTGCTATATAGGAAATAATCATCACTTTGCACCAATAGCCAAATCAATAATTCAAGAGCCTTATTACCCAGTATCACAACAAGCTTAACATGGCTACTAACACGAAAGAAAATAGTTAAAGAGTCTTACAATCTAGAAAAAGCATAAATAATATAATAAATGAAGTAACAAGATGTAAATAACTAGTTCTATCTGCATGCTCAACCCATAGCAAGTGCATTATACCCATACCTTACATATATACACCGCCCTCAACATATATAACACGTAGCAATTAGACAAAATTACATCCTAATACCCTCAAATCGAGGTTAACCAAGGCATTTACCTCTTTTCGGAACAAAATCAACAAGCCAACATAGTTTTTCCTTTAGAACAAGCTTCTAAACTACCCAAATCTAGTCAAATATTACTCAAATATGTCAAAACAAGCTTTAGAAACTACCCTAGTATCAAAAAGATTTGATCTTTATCATGTTTGAAAATGTCAACAAAAAGTCAACCCGAGCCCACGTGAACGATTTTTTATGTTATATTTTACCTTTTTATAATATCTTTTTTATCTATAACATCAATATCCATATTTATAACAGAATGTTCTTTGTATAATCATCACATTATAATATCCATGTAGAATCTCTAAGATTACTTATAATGAGTCTATTGATTTTGATAAACTATTTTGAAACTTTAACGCACCATTTATGATAAAAAAAATGTTATGTCAGTGCATACTTTGATAATTAAGGATTTAATTTAATATCATTAAAATATATGCTTGTATATTTTCGGATACCCTTTACTGAAAGTTTGGACACAAGTCTTTGCCAATTGAAACGTTATGTTGCTAAGGGATTGGAATTTACAAAACATACTACAATTTAAAAAGAAAGACTTATCTTTTTTCCTAAGATGATCAAAAGTGATCTTTAATAAGTTGGGGTTGTCCAGCTTATTGCTTTTGGCTTGTTTTAAGCAGTTTTTAATTTATTTTAAGCACTTTTCTGACATTCCCAAACACTAAAAAAGCTAAAAAGAGCTTAAAAGCTGATTTGAACAGCTTAAAAGCCAATCCAAACAGCCTCTATGTATAAGTATGTATAAATACGAATGTTGGCCAAGCCCAAATACAAAGAAAGCAGCTAACCGGCTCCACTACATGGGCTACTAACTCTAGCAGTTTCCTTTCTTATTTCTTTAGGGGTCGTTTGGTACGTGGATAAAATAGTATTGGAATTATATCCCGGTATTAATTTATATCACATAAAAGATGGAATAATATAATCTCACAATTAATGGTATAAAATGGGATAAAATGAGATAAGTGGGATAATATTTGGGATTTTGCTTATCCCGACAAGGAAAATGATTTTGTTTTACTTGGCTAGTTTGGATTGATTAGTAAAAATAGTACATAGAAAAGCAGTACTGCAATAAAGTGACGAGAAGGTTAAACAAAAAAAAGGAAAGAAAAAGGCTATTGCCACTTGGCAGTATGTTTAATTTTTCTAGAGAGTGAAACATTTTTACCATCTAGAACAGCTGTTAGCAGTCATATTAGGCTATTTTCCGGAATTTTTACTGTGAGACTTGAGTTTCAGACCTTTATTTTTTTTGTTAAATGTGGTGCAACTATGTAACGACTGAATCTATTTTATGCCTCACACAACTTACATTAGTTATGGGAGGTATCTTTTTATCTCACATATTTTTTAACTCATATCTTACACATCTAGGTCCACAAAATCCTGGACCAGACAGTTGTGAGACAAAAAAGAGGTCTCACACAACTAGTGTTAGTTGTGTGAGGCACAAAATAAATTTTTTCCTATATAGCGGATATAAAGTAGATAATATCAAATTATCAATTTATAGAGTAACATTTTATGCTACATTTTAATTAGTTATAGAACTCTTTTGATGTGGGCTGAGATTTATATTCGACTGAGTGTTCACAAAAGTATATAAAATTAAAGATATATAGGGATTAGTGGTTGAGGGTAGGATGAATTGTTGGAATTGAAGATGTGTTTTGTTTGGACTGATTACACATTGACTCTGATTTTTAATTGTAGCTAGTGAGTACAAATAAGAGAAGTAAGCAGTTGTCAATATCTTGTTGCGCATTCTGCCCTGAAAGATATGTTAGGTTGACTCAATAATTAGCTTATTTTGGATGTTGACTAAATATTCAGAGGGTTTCTCTTCTAGGCAGAAATGGGGTTTCTTTTTATTTTACCAAATCCACTTATCCAAACTTTCAAGTTTCACCTCCTGCAGTGAAGGGAATTTGGCAGACGTTTACCATGTATATTAAAATAAAATAAAAAGAATACATGAAGGAAGGGATATATATATATATGTAAGCTTACCTCCTCAAATCCTAAGATAATGTTGGACATACCCCAACACCTTAGATATTCTAGACTACTACTACCATTTGTAATTCTAACTAGGGGTGTGTAAACTGAACCAATCCAAACCGATATAATTGGTTTGGTTTGATTTTGATAAAAATCGAACCAACCCGTTCCATGTACACCCCTAATTCTAACCTGTGCAAAAACGAGAGTGAGAACATTAACTTCTGTGACACTCTCCAAAACACATCTAAAAAATAAAGTTAGTGTACAAAATAGAAGCTAAGGCGCATCATATAAGTTAATCTACAATTTCATTGACACATTTTTTTTAAACCTTTAACGCCTTTTAATTTTTTGTTCTAACACACACTTGCCAGTTGCCACATGGTAGTATAAATTAAAGGGGCCTCGAACCAATTTCTTTATATTTTGGTGTTAGTAATTGGTCAGCCTTAAATTAAAGTCAAGAGGTGTAAAAGAAAAATCTTTGCAAGTTCGGTAATAAATAGTACGTACTATTATATATGCCAATATGAAAACACTCTTCTTTCCGTAGTATGGATAAAATATGCTTTTGTCTTGCCTCCAGACTGTAGCAGACGTAAAAATGGATTTCTGAACCTGCAGCTTTTTTTTTTGCAGTTGCTTGTCTTTATGTTTTAATTAATGTATATGCTTTTGAAAAGAAAAAAAATAAACTAAATGAACTGTACCACAGTTCGGCATTTTATTACGTAATATTTTTATTTTCCTCATCATAAGAAATTAAATATCAATGGATAAGTTACTACTTATTTACCTATAATTTCTTATTGGGGTAATTACTAAGGTCCAGGCTCCCACCGTCTCGAATTATTGAAGCATTTGGATTTACTCATTTTCATGTTCAAAACTTTCAACTTTTGCATTTAGTAGGTGTAATAACTAAATTTCGCTCCTGAAAAATAATAATCAAGACAAGAAATATAGCGACAAATATCACTACGAGAAAAACGGCCTTTAAGGAAGGGAAATATGGTCCCTAAAGATCCAAATCTGGTCCTAATAAATCAATTGCGACGGGAAAAAGCTGGTCGCCACCTGTCGCAATAGCTTTCGCCGCTAAAGGTCAACAACGACGGTTCTAAAAAACTGGTCGTTAAAGTGTTTTAGAGACGAGAGAAAAAGCTAGTCGTTAAATACTTTTAGAGACAACATATCTCGTCCCTAATAGGCCATTAACATATTATTCCAATATATATTTTCTGGTCGTGAAATAATATTAGAGACCAGCCTTTCCGTCCCTAATAGATGATTAATATATTATGAAAAATATATATTTTCCAGCCGTCAACACTTTTAGCGACTAGAATTTAACTGGTCGTAGATTATATTTTAGAGACGAGACCCACTGGTCTCTATTTAAAATAACTGTAGTAACTTTAATGACCGTATTTCTGGTCTCTTATTAACCGCATGTAGTCCTAAAACTCGATGTCACAAAAAATTATTTTATAAATAAATATCAAATTGCTACTAAAAAGTCTTGATATAAAAAGATATTGATTACAATGTTAACATCCCATGATGTTAGTTTCAATATTTACTCAACACCTTAACAAAAAAGCTTAGCTAACATCTTGCGTTAGACAACAATATCAAGTTTTACATAATATTCCTAGCAAAGTAATAATGAGCTTGTATGTCATCCAAACTTGCATTTTTGTAGCTTCAATCTTCAAAACCTGTAAGTACAAAAATTTGAAAATACGATGAATAACTATTAGTAAAATAATATATGTAAAATTACATTTGCAAGAACATAACTAATACAAACATTGGCATGTTAATCATTTTGGCACATAATGGTCTGGAAATTTGTCCATACGTGTCATGAAAAGGCCTAGGTAAAGTAAAACGAAGTCACGCATATATTTTTTCTGATAGAAAATTTAACCTATAATATAAGTTCAACTCTGCAATTAGAAATCTCTACATAGTACATAATTGGTGGTTTGGTGCTATCACCCAGCATCATTTATCATAACGTGTGCAAGTGTCATTTGTCACTTATTGACAAAATAGAAAATGGGAACTCTCCTCGTCAACTCTTCAGAATCTAAGTTTGTAATGTTAGCAGCATCATAATATGTAAAGGAGTCACTATAAGACAGCTTTCAGAAGAAGTACGTTGATGGTGTGAACCATCTTTAGATTTTGAAATGCATTTTTGGGTGAAAATGCACTTCTATCCATCTAAAAAAATGCACTTTGATCTGTACCTTTACTTCACTTTGATATGCTTACAGGTGATTACTTCTATCAAAAGTTTTAATGTCTTAATTATAAATAATACCTGTCTGACCCAACAAGTGTACAATTGGACAAAAGTGCATGTCAAGCAGCCCAAAAGCTTAAAGAAAAAGTATGTGTGTCCAGAATCGTTATACAGGCAGCACATGGATGCTTCAAAGAAGCTCCTGACCCCAGCTAATGTAATAAGAAATACAACAAATCAGACTAAACACGAAATGAACGCTTATTTAAAGAGCAGGCAATAAAATGGATTTAGTAAAGCATATACTTCTATCACCAAAACACTTGGCGCATTTTAACCACCTAATACTATGGATTTGCACTTAAAGAACTAACAGAATTCAGCCTTCTTTATGCTTTTTTCCTTACAATGTGGCAAGTCTTATCTCTTTCCATGGTGAACAGAAACTTGGGCACACGAGTTTTGGATCAATGATAATAGAATTAGTTGTGATAAAAGAATCCCAATACATATGGTATAGTGATGGGATTTCTTCTGTTTACTCATAGTTTACTCGCTAGTAAAATCAAACAACTGATATAATCTATAAGATAGAAATGACTATATGCAAATCAACAAAAAAAATTAAAAAGTAATGTATATTATTACTAACTTGGCCAGCAGACAAAAATAGTGGTCATTCAGTTGAAACGGGCGATGTCGTAGGCGAGACATGTGATTGTTGAGCAGCGAATGATTTCCTTATTTTCTTCATTTCTTTCATCTCATCTTCTAAGGTAGACAAGCGGTCCTGTAATGAATTATTTTCCTTATTCAAAGATTTATTTTCCTCTCGAGTTGAACGTAGCGCGGACAGTAATTCAACCTTTGAAGAAGTGCCACCTTTCAAGTCTTTCGCCTTTACTCCACTCCCAAAGCCAAATACATAGCTACGAGAATATAGATATTTTATCATAGTACCTTTTGATAAATAATCTCTCGAATAGGTTTGCTACCAATATGATGAAGCATCTTCAACTTAGCTCGGTTTGCTGCATTCCTATTGCTTCTTGCCTTTGTAAAATAATAAGCTTAAATATAATTAATGTAATAAATTTAAATAGTACACTTAGGTTTGATTCCAAGTATAGCGGAAAAAAGATATTTGGTGTCAGGGAAGGAATCAGACAGCAGATGCTTTGGCAAAATAGACTATTAAATCACTGGGCATACCTGAAAACTTTCTGATGAAAAATGTTCCTTTACTAACCACTCCCATTCTTTCTTATCTACTCCCTTTGGAATATTCTTAAGAGCATGTTGGATTGGCTTATCCTTCACATATTTTGCATGTAAGTGTCCTCTCCATTTATTCCATAACTCTTTCATCCATCCAAGATATGATTACGATAATCATTCATGTCAACACTCTCAAATTTATCCTACAATAATCAAAGTATTGGTTGATTAAATGCATCGAAAGATACTATCAGCAAAGTGATACAATTCTGAATTCCTCTTCAGTTATGAAGCTACCATGAAGCCTTTTCAATAAAAACATAAAAAGAGAACGAAAAATAATTCACCTACATTGCTACACTTTTTGCAAGAAAGTAAGAAGATAACTTCTCCTAGCTTTCAAGACTTCCAGGTTTCAAGTACTATTTTCAACTAAGACTTGAATTTCCTCTTGGATGATGCTCACACCATAGCTATTCAACTTTCCCAGTCCAAATAAAGTTTCACAATCAAGGACTCATTCAAACAATTATTAAACTCAACTCTCAGTTAAACAAATAACTTAGAAACTCAATCAAGGATTGAGATCACAATTGGCAGCAACAACTGAAACACAAATGAAGTTCTTTAAAACTTACAATAGCTATGACAGACTTCAGCTCAATACACATAAATCAAGAAACTGAAATCGCAATTAAAAAATCTAAACACATTCATCGGAAAAAAGACTTAAAAATACTCAAAATGTACAAACATACTCTTAGACTATATTTGTTACCTCAATAGCCGCCCACATATGATTTAACTTTTCTTGCTTAATATCATTCCACGATGATACTCCCAACGGACACATACCGCGATTATGTACTGTTCTGCCCAAGTTCTAAAACATCTTTAAAAAGAAAGTATGTACCAGATTTTTATTTTTTGAACAGATGAAAATGAATAGTAGACTTGCAATCCTTCATTTTTTGAACATAAAAAATGAAAATCTTTTTCAGATGTAAAATACATACGCCAATATCTTTATTTCATTACAAGCAACAATGAATTGCAATTTTCCCAGATGGTATCTCATTACTGCATTTACATTCAGAGTAGGTACTGATAAAATAAAAGAGAAATCAATACACCAATATTTATGCTATAGGATATGTCACTAACCATTACTCAAACAACCTGTTGCTAACTCCTGCTCTATGTAGATGCAAACCAGACAAGGTTGCAACAGTAACTTTGGTATCACCTTCTTCTCAATTGTAGGTCAATTAATAAGCTTTTACATATTCTCATTCATGAAATACAGCATATCTTTAAGCTAAAGTCTTTCTCGTTGTCTTTCTAAGATTCGCTAAGCATAATATTTTTTTACAAGCCACTAGGTATCACTAAACACAATTTTAGCAATTCAAGAAGGTGCTTTCGGCACTCTTCTATAGTACACAATCCACACTGCTACTAACATGGATTAGTTAAGTGGGGAAGGCAGAAACACACATCAACGAAGCAAAAGAAGGCAATTAAAATCTGCCGCAGAGAATGCAGAATCGCAATTTTAAATCAACTTCAGAAAATTAACTTATCAAATTAGGAATCCCAACCCAATAATCTTTTCACTGATTATACAAAAGAAAAAAATACCAAAATATGAAACCTTTCCATTTTTTTAATGTCATAGAAGAAGAAGATCGGAGAACTCGAATAAGCGAAGCAATCGGCGAAAAATAGCAACTTGAAAGAGGGGCATACCACAGATTCTCAAACGAGCGAGATGGAAACTTGGGCAGATTCACACACAACCAGATTTACAACTTACGTTTTGAGAAAATACAGATAAAGGACAAGGTCAGAGCTCGGCGGAATACTAGGGCAGAGCTGATGCGCGCGCGATTTGTGTTTAGAGAATACAGAGAGTTTTTTTACTTTTTAAAAATTTTTATTTCAATTTATTAGGTTTGGTGCCTGATTTTTCAGAAAATAATGTAGAGTAATATTTTGGTATTAGATTTGGCGGCACACTAATGCCCCTCAATTATAATTTGGGACCAGTTAATAATTTTTTTAGGGACCAGATTTAGTACCTTCGTAATAAAATGAAGCATTAAGGATCGCAATATAATCTTGTCCCAATAAATATATTTTTTGCGACGGGATTATTAACTCGTTCCTAAAAGTTGGTCGTAGATAAGGCTTTTTCTTGTAGTGTATTATATTCAATTTCAAGTGATGAGGTTACAATCTCTAAAATATCTCTAAATCTAAAGAGATGTAGTCCTCTGATTCTTCTCCTCACGGATGATGGTTCAAGAGCTTGAAAGCTTGATCTTGAACTTGACGGATTTCAGATTTGCAGTACGTCACGAACAATTTGAAGGTCGTCACGAACCAGGATTTGGTGTTGGGTTATCGCGAACGGAAGATTTGAAGATGTCCGCCTATGACTTGAGTTCGCCTTTGGAATTTGACTACAGACCGACGATTGCATATATGATGCTATTCTTCAGAGCTTCTTTAGCCTTTCCTTCTGCTTACTTGCTTGTCCCTTAGCCTTCTCCTTTGATCCCTTTATATAGGCGTGGGGTGGAGTAGTCTCCAAGAAAACCCTAGTGGATCATTGGGCTTGAGGCTTATGGGCCGACCTATTTGATAGAAGACCAATTTGCGGGCTAGCCCAATAATATATTGGACTATTATTTAAATCAATTCATTTTAGATTTAAATAATCGTCCCGATCATATTAGCCCATAGTATCATTTGGACTAATATGTATTTAATACATGATGAAATCTAAATTACTTGTGGATTTGAATTTAATAAAATTTTATTTGTCTACAGTAGGCCTAATTGGCACAAGTTCAGAATAATAAGGATAAATAACTTTTACTGATCAGCCTAAAAAAAATTACATCTAAGCATTGATAATATGTCTTTTTTTGTTTAAATGTATAATTACACAATTCATTTGTCTTTGATGTATAAAATTTGTTAAGTAACTGATATATATTATTTAAATGTATAAATCTAAAAACTATACTACAATTGAATGGTGCATATATACGCAGTTTTCTTTTCCAAACATTGAACTTATAATGTACATGTTGTATATATTTTGATTATAAGGGTATCGTTTAATTACTGAATTGCAAATTAAAGTTACTTTATTTATTTGTTTGCCGAAAAAAATACATACAAAACCATGGAATTACATGCTTCAAGTGCGGAGAGGAGATCCGGTCATGTTACATATATGTAAAAAATCTTTTATTATAAGCTTTCTGTTATAAATAGAATTGTATTATGGTGAATGTGTATATTTAGAGAGATTCTAGGGTTCATTGCTTAGTGGCTAAGTCACCCTCTCCCTATAAATAGAGGGTTCTATTCTATTGTAATTCATCCCAAATCAATAAGAATTCTCTCTCCCTACTTTTCTCTGCAATACTATTCTTCTTCTTTTATTGTTTCATAAAACATTATCAGCACGAGACTCTAACCAATTGAGTAGAAGCTTTGGGATTGAGCATAATGATTGTCAATTGTTCCATGAACTTGCTTCATGATTAAATTCTGGATTTAAGGTATGTATTTTACCGTATATTCCTCTTTTATTCTATAATTTGATTTTAAATACAAATAAAGAAAATAAATTTTGATTATAACTCTAATGGAGTTAGTAAGAAATTATAACCACTCGAAGTGGTAAAATTTCTATGTCTTGCCATGATCAAAGTTATGTATGATCGTGAGCACAAGAAGTGAAAACCCGTCCCATTGAATTTGTTCCATTCTCATTCCCTTAAGAGAATGTGATAGCAACATGTGATAAGTCTGAAAGAAGACAAAATTATTACCATAAAGGTATCAATGGATGTGGACGTGATAATAGACGAAATTATAATCGTCATTATCGTGGTAATGAGAATAATAAGGATTCTCAAAATAAGCCTTCACTCTATGAAGTTAATGTTTGTCATCGATTTGACATGATTTCGTAAAGCGCATACAAATGACTATTGTCCATTCATGATATGAATGTGAAAACATCTGATATATGAATACATATTCATTCTTGGAAGAATATGAATGTGCTACAGTGGTAGTGAATACCACACTCACCTCTAAAAGGAGGTTTGAGATAGTACAAGAAAACAATGTCATTATTATGGCATGAATGGTCATTGGTCGCGTACCTATTGTACGCCAAAATATTTTGGTAATGTGATTATTAAAGAATAACAGTAATGCAAGAAACAGATCTTGCATATAATTTTGACCATAACCATAATGGTATAACTTTCTCTTTAAAAGAGATATTCACCATATGGATGTTGATGAATATGTGGTACTACAAAATTAATTGAGAACTCTGCAAGAGCCAATTACACTATTTTGGAGAAACACAATTGATTACCAATAAGGTATTGTGTTGTAGTAAGTCTCAAAGAAACTTATTCAATTTCCAAAGTATACGCGAAAGCGGTTGATTATATTGAGACTATAAATAAAGGAAAGATCAAATATCTTCTATTACTACAACTTGTAGCGGGATAATATGTATGTGAAAAGCTACCCGCTTTATTCTCCAATTTGTACTACATAAACAAAAGAATACCACAATGAAGTGGATATTTATTGATATAAAAATCCATATCATAATAAACTTGGAGTTTATTAATAATTGCACACGTCATGGTGTAAATCCGAAGTTTATCAATATTGATAATTTATTCAGTTGGCATAATTGGTTTACTCATATCAATTTAAGTATGATGTGCAAAAATAAAAGAGAATTCACATGGGTAAATATTAAAGAACTTGAAAGTTCTTTACGAATTCTCTTATGTTTTCTGTTGATGATAGGCTATAATTATGTATTTTAGTCGATTATTACACTCTAATTTACTGCACTTTAATTGAGTTTGAGCTTTAATCGCTAGTGTTTTGCACTAATGGTGTGTTTTATGCCTTGTAGGAGTGATTCTGGGCTATGTAGATGCTATGGAATGAATTCGAGTGATTTTGAGCTTCAAAGTTTGAATAAAAGTTCAAGGAATTAAGCCGGGATCGTGTTTGGAGGTCAACGGATGATAGTTAGAGCGAACGAAGACTCCAGTAGGCATATTGCATACTGTCTAGTAAAATAGACATAACCTTTTGCTCAGAACTCTATTTGGGCTAAACAATATATGGTCGGAAAGATAACTCAAAAGGCTACAACTTTCATGTTTTACGTTTTTCCAAATTCGAAACGGAACAGGGTGAAAAATGCGCGTCAATAGCGCGATCGCGCTCAGGTCGCGCTCGTCAGGCAGAACACTGGGCCACTAGCGCGATCGCGCTAATCAAACCCGGGAAAAATATTCTTTTTCACATTGGAGAAGGTATAATTGTTTGGGCCCAACCCTACTTGGTATATATACATGGAAAAACGGTATTTTGAAGGAGGAAGACGTTTTTGAGAGGAAAACACAAGCACAGAGCCGCCGTGGAGGCCGGGTTTCATCTTTTCTTCCACCAATTTAGTCTTTTTATGTTTCTTTGTATGATTTGTTGTTTTGCTACCATGTCTATGTGGAGTTAAACTTCACGTTCTAGGGTTGTGGTTCTTTCATGACTATTGTTATTCGGATATTGATTTTGATTTCTTAGTTTATCATATTGGTTTATTTATTCAATCCTGCACTTAATTATTTGATTGCTTGATCACCAATTGAATACTATCTACGAATCTAGAGTTGAACTCGAAAGTGGGAATTCTAGATTGCATATAGGATTGAGTAGAGCAAGTTCTTGAACCTGGACATCGGAAAACGGATTCGCAATTAGGATAGACATATACCTAATTGCCTTGCTTGGTTGAAATACAGGAATTATAAATGCGTTCTTGTTGATTCTAACTCTATAGACATATAGGCGTTAGGTTAGCTTAAATAGGCGAGTAAGAACTCGACAGATTCTTATGAGCAATATTAACCCTGTCAACCAATAAACTCGATAAATTAGTTAGTCAATTCAATTGAAGAATACAATAGGAATGTTAGATAGCCCATAACCCTAGATCGTTTTCATTACATTGATATCATAAAAATCTGCTCTTTCTCTGTTCAAAGTTCATTATTTATATTCTTTATTTAATTAGTTTAGAATCAAATACTTCTAGGTTTAATTCTTGTTTAGATAATTAGGATAGTCTAATTTAGTTAATAGTTAATCACAAGTCCTTGTGGGATCGACATCCGACTTTTAGTCACTTTATTACTTGACGACCGCGTGCGCTTGCGTGTGCGTTTGGCAGCAACAAGTTTTTGGCGCCGTTGCCTGGGACTTAGAAATTAACTATTTTTCTAAATTAGACTTTTACTTGTATCTTTACAAGTTTTTTTTTCCTTCTCTTTTTGTAAATATTTTATTAACTATTTGATTTTTCTCTTAGTGTGTTCCTAGTTCTCTCAACATGACATCTGGGAGGTCTGAATTTGAATATTGGAGTAAGGGTTGGTATTGGGACGTATATTCTCGATTAGGCGAATATGCGAAACGACTTTGTCTTCTGACAACGTTGGTGAATGATTGGTCTAAGGAGAGAGATGAACTTGCACATAAAATTGATAATTTTTGCTTGGTTGTACATAACTTAGATGCATATTTGAG